TGCCCCAGCCCTGATTACAGGAGATTTGTAAACATGTATGAATTTCACATTTTGAAGAGTTTTTATAATCCAAAAAAATATGTGATAACATGTGTTTGTACATACTGACACAATCATTAAACAAATATTGGCTGCAGCTTTTAAAATCTATTGACTGCATCAGGCTTTGTAATCACAAATATGCCATTTTCAGTTTCAATCCAGTTATAAGACATTCTATGACTCATACTAATAGAAAAATATGGCAAATAAAGATGCTCAATATTATATTATCTATAAAGAGGACACAAGTTCACTGTACACAAATACTCTCTACTTTATTTACTTGTCTTCATCTGATGATAAATACAGATGTTAAGCAAAACGAAATGCAGACTTGGTGCCAACAGAGAATAATAACATAATAATAACTTTATTTCTATAGCGCTCTTATCCTATGTTCAAGGCCCAAGGAGAAACAAGTCCTCGAAACGATGACCCCCTCAACTTCGATTCTCTTATTACAGCTAGCAAGTGAACATCTTGCAATGCTGAATGACAAAACAAAATAAGCTCACTGCGTTTAAATACCGTTGCCGGGTATTCTGAAGAAGCTCCTAGTATTTTATGAGTATATCACAGCTATGCACATCAGTACCTCTTAGCACTAGTTGCACTGATTTCACGGTGAATTCGAAAATTTTCGGCGAACCGTGGGTCTTACCTCCACTGCTTTTCATGATTGAAGCATTGAACAAAGCGTTTCTGTGCCGACTTTTCTCGGTCAGTTGCAAACAGGATGCAAGTGATTACGAACAAAATACACCAGAATACACTTATCAACGGAATGAGACTGTTTTTTCCCTGAGAATTGGACAGACTTTCTTTTTCAAGGGCTTCCGGAGGACATTCAAAGCAAAATCGTATATATCTACAGCGTAATTAACGAATATTCACTCCGCAGTCGAGATATTCACTCCACGCCATCTTGACACAAATGATCAGGTTTTGAATACCGCCCATGATGCTTAGCGATCGTAGTGCGCACACCGCCTGGAGAAGACCAGACTCCATCATAAAGTATTTTGATGAACAATTCTATTTCAATTAAGTCCAATTTGTTTAAATTCACTGCAGATCCTAGAGGCAAAGGCCCGCATTTTTGTTTGACATTGGACAAAATCACTTTCTGCTTGATCGTACAGTAATTCCACAGTCACGATGAATTTCAGTCGAAGTACTACTCGATAACAGCTTGTCTCAACTCTGAAGCATTTGATATATTTTGTACGTGACAACGTAGAGCCGGTTCTTGTAGCATTTGAATAATACGCAATTAAATGGATCTTAAGCTTTTGAATCGCACAGACGCGAAAATATTGACATACAGTTCGCGATATTATTATTTTCCATTGTTGCTCCGTTCGACTTCTGTCAGCGCAAAACCAGCGGGTTGCATATAAATTAGCTTCTCAGGAATATTTAGGCTGTGCACGTGACCAGCCGATGCCAGGGCCTTTTCCCGCCCCACCCATTTAAGGGAAAAGCCCTGGGGACGAGGTTGGAAGTACAAGACACATGGGCTCTTCCAAGGCAGTTTCTGAGCCTGGCATGCATGTCCATCGGTGAACAGGAATACATCATCAGTAGTGATGATGAGTCTCCACTGAGCGATTTGGCGAGAGTGGAGGCTTGCCGTACCTTCCGACGTCAGCAAAGGCGTTGACCTGGCCATAACCATCGATCGTTACTTTTTTGACGAGGAATGACGGATTTGGCTACTCCACAGCGAAGTTCACGTCTTCCGGTCGTTTTAAGACCCCGAGTTTCTCCAACTCATCAAATTTGTTTCACTAGTTTGTTCCAAGCATACTGGGGACGACGGCCCTTTCGATGTGGTGGTTCAACAGGACTGATGTTCACTTTAGCCTCAAAAGGGCCAACGGCATCAGTATAGCCTCGTGAAGGAGGAGCCATCCGCGAGGGTAATCAGGCGTTTAGCAGGACGAAAAACTAGCAATATCATTTACTTCGATAAAGGGACTATCGGAAAGGAACTCTACATCCAAGTTTTTCACGCCTAGATCTTCAAACTGGAACACGTGTTGCCCGTGAGTGAAGGGGATCTTGGTTTCACAGATGACCTTTAGTGTGGATGATCCATTGGCTTGATGGGCGGACTGGGCAATCTAACAAATCTTAATTTTCAGCTTCCGAACAGTGGATAAACGGATCATGTTACCAGTGGCTCCAATGTCGATGGTAATACGGACAGGGTTGTGACGATAAAATGTATGGCCACTGGCGTACCTGGATTCTCAATGCACTGCCGTTCAAAAGTGGATTGACAGTGTGTTCCGAGTCTTGATTGATAGTCGAGAATCGAGGAGTCATAGATTCACCCTTCAATGATGTAATTTACACTTACATCGAGCAAGATGGATTCCAAACTCTGCAGCGTCACGCAAGTGGCTGAAGGCTTCAAAGGGAAACAAAAATAACTTATGAATTGCTAGGTCCGAGAACTTCGATCAAGTGATGAAAAGGTCTGAGATCCAATACACACTTTTCACATAGACCACAATGCACTTTCTTCCCCCCTTTTTTTCATAACCATTGTTTTTTTGTTTCTTTTGGGACGGCTGTAATACCCACGAGAGATTGGAAACAATGGTAATGTGCAAAATTTTTTAGGGGGTGGTATTCTGGTCTATGCGAAAATGGTTGTAGCTGAATTTCACACTTTTATACGAAATGTCAAGCCCCATATTTGCTGGCATTCTAATAAGCCATTTGCACAATGGCGTCATTTTATTACTACGACCAGAATCCTTGTCGTTTTTCCTTTTATATTCAAATTTGGTAATCCCAGCGAGGTTTGAATAACAAAAGCCTTAATTTGCACAAGAAAGCAAAGTCCTGAAAGATTCTGGTCGTAGTAGTGAAATGACGTCATCAGGCAAATGGCCTATTACACAGCTAACAAAAAGATCTATTCTCTGTTTTCCAATTCCTCGCGGTACACCGTTTTTTCACCCAAATACTACATGGGTCCTGTCCCAGGAGAATTTAAAAACAATAACGTATACAAAAGTGGGGGGGGGGGGCAACAGAATGCACCATTTGCACGCGCCCCATAATATACCTTGTTTGCCCCCCAAAATTTTGCATCAGCACTGTCTTCAATTTCTCTTGAGACGTCATTACAAAATGCAAAATTTGGCGGTGGGAGGTATATTACGAGAGATGTGCACTTGGAATGGGGCCGGACGAATTAGTCAATTACTTTTTTTTTCTTGTTTACTACATTAATATTGAAATCTTTCATCATCTTATGAATTATATGACCGAAAAGAACCCATTTACTTCAATGCAAATGTGTCCTTACGGATCCCAAGCGTTTACTGATAAGTAAAAATCAGTATAATGACATGACATGCATCCGTTAACGGTTCATGTAAGAATGCTGCCTTAGAGAAACTTGTGCGTCACTTTACTTAAAAAAATCATGCATCCTCTATCCGTGGAACCCTAATTACATACCCACTATATGCCCACACCCCGACACCATCCCCACCCCCTCCCCACAAACAATCACAGTCCATCAATCCACGTTACGTTGGTGTGAAAGAATCCTTGTATGACAATCACGGTAATGGTAAAGTGTATTCAACAAACTGACGAGACAAGTATATATCATTCTACCTTAACACTACCTTTTCTATCCATTTAATCGTCCATTTCAGTGTATTCTCCGACAGAAGACAAAAGTGGTAAGCTATATTTTTCTTTTGTTCAGCCTTTTTCTTTTTACAAGTAAAGAATTCCAAGTTCTTTTCACCGAGGCTGTTTTCGAAAAATGTTTTCTTTTGGGATTTTACCCAGAGACTAAAGGTCGACTTGGGACTTAAATATTGTAATCGGTTTTCATGCACCGTAAGTGAAGGAAGAACTCGCATATGGGTGACCCCAATTAATTAGCACGCACGGCACGTTGGCAGTATAAACATGTATCAGTCCGACATAAATATTTTTGGACAAGAAATAGAAAACACCGAATGACTTAACAATTATTTCTGAATAAATTTGTAATGATAAATTAGTAGTTCAACCCAGTGTTTAAGTCAAACTTAAATGGAGAAGGTTAAAAATTGACAAAGAAATTAAATAAGGCGATTATAGGAGAGCAATAAACCATTTTACTTTTAGTTTAGTAAACTATCGACCCGGATGGTTTTCGTTAATTAGATTTAAAAATAGAGCTTTAGTAAAATGTTGCATTTTCGAAATATCAGGATCGTCAATTAACTTTTATTCTCGGGGACTAAGCTCTCACTGAGGACTAAAAAATTACTCCTTCAGCTACATCTCTGGGACAGCAAACTGCTGGAGACTGACGTGGCCGGTCGCACGAGGGGAGTTTTAGAGTTTCCGTTCCCCTGTTTGTTTTTATAACGTCTAACAACGTTGGTCCAACAAAACTGGAAGTTTTTGGCTCAAAAATTTGACCGTATTGCTACTTTGCACAGCAACTCCCAAAGACATGAGAGGGTGTACAAACGGACGCAACGTGTAACATCCAACAATGTTGCGTCGGTTTGCACGGGGCTTAATATGAATAAGAAAGAAGTGAAAAAAGTAATAATAATACTATAACGAAAAGAATTATAATGTAGAAGCTTTTGCTTAAGTTTCCTTAAATGCCGTTATTTTCACTAAACGAACTATATGTAACAACAAAGAGGACGAAAATAAAGTTAACATAGCTCTTTTCTGAACATTTATTTAACTCTTTTAAAACATGGGTGTCCGATTTGACTCCGGTTCATGTTTATATTTTCGGATGTACTGGAGTGATTATCTTTGTTTATACAGGAACACGTGTCGTGTAAGGGGATAGTCAAACCGATAATAAGATTGCTTTCAACCAATGACTTTCACGAATTTATTTTTTGATATGTAACTACAGCTATGAAGTCTCGGTAGTAAGAGTTGTGTCTTCATAGTATACTTGGTTTCCAAGCGATAGCGTAACACTGTGACATTTTCCAGAGACCTTCATAGCCTCGCTAACAGCAGGATTAACGGTGTTATTTTGCAGACTTATTCGCATTTCTGTAAGAGAAATGTTGCAAAACTGTTTGTCCTAAAGTTCTACGATACTCACGGGAGAACTTGAAGAAAGTGGACAAAACCATAATAGCAGATTATTTCAAACTCAAGAGGAGATTTTGGCAGCAGGAACAAGCACAAGGTAAAGTTAACGATCGAAACCGAAAATGTTCATATGTTATGCCCGAACAAGATTTGAGAAAACTGAAAACACCGCCAAGAGCGTTCATTTTGCTATTTTTGCAATACAACTTGAGAACGGGTGAACGATTGTCAGTAGTGGCACTCGAGGGCGCAAATAATCGAATATTTACCTAGCAAGCCACTATTTTTTTTTTAAGTTTTGTGCTCCACTGAGAACAGCTTAAAGTTGTTGCTAAAGTTAATCGACTAGGTGAATAATACTTTTTAAAGATTATAGGCAAGCGATAATGTAATAAGCATAGGCACAGCGAGAGAGGGCCAGAGATAACTTGTAAAGGTCATAATTATAATCTTGCAGTGTGGAACCTTCTGATATAACGAAGGGCCAAGGAACTGGCAAAATTTGTTCGCTATAACGAGGTTTCGTTATATCGAGGTTCTTTTTCATATATCTTACTATTACTGGGGTAGAGAAAATCAAATCGTTCGCTATACCGTGGACGTCATTATATAGAGTTTCGTTTAGTCGAGCTTCCACTGTGGCCCATATATAGATACTCACCCCGGCCACTGAGTGAATCAGAGTGAATGGACGTCATTTATGTCAAACAGGTAAAACTTAACTAAAGTACTTTAATTACTACATCAGGAATTTGTTTGGTCTTAATTGATAAAACTGTAGTATAAAGATCTCTCTCTTAAAACGAAATTATATACAGGGTTTCCGGGATTTTAGCTCTATTATGAAAGACAATCCTTCCTCCACGAAGTACTTGACACGTATGTAATCACGGTACAATACAGCTATAAATAATCGTTCGCTCCTTTGAACCTAAAACTGAAACAGTTAATACTTCAAATTGAAGGTTTGATTCCACTCGAAAATACTCCTCTGAAACCGTTTTTCTTACGGCAGGTAAAATCCCTTTTTCAAAAGCCAGTATGGCCAGGTGGACGAATACGGGGAACTAGTTCAGCGGGTTGATCCCACTAAGTGAGTTTTATCGTTACATTGTAAAGAAAAGTATAAATATTATCGATCGATCGGGTTTTACCTGTACAGGTATGAAAGGCTGCACCCTCTTCTAGAACCCGAAACCTTTCACTATTAGGGGATTTTACTGTACAATAGCTCAAGTGAATCCTTCCGATGACCCGGTTAGGCAACCTTTGAACAACTGTTAAATGGCAATTAGCTCAATACTCCCTCCATCAGTTACGATTTTTTTTACCATAATTTTTTGTGTTCGTGTCTTTAAGGATAAAAAATCCGCTTATTACTTAAGATAATCTACGAGTGGTATCTAATATCCATTCGATTTGAGGCTGGCATTAAGCAGAAATTTTTCTATGGTAAAATACTTGCAACAATATGTATCGAAATCTGAGGTTTGCAAGTATCTTTCACGTGGTGGTGCGCGTGTTTTGAAATGTTTCAAAAAAAGGAAGCTCGTCCGAAAAAAAACCGTCACGAGGAAAAATAGATCAAAATAGTGAAGAAGATTTTTAAGCAAAATTCCCTATTTCCTCATGCAACCAAGGCTAGCATCATACTTAGAATTTTCCCGAAGATCAAAAAAGACAAGTGTCCTAATTAACTTTTAACTATCGTTGAAAGCACTAATTTTATTCTAATGAAGAAACTAAGCTTTATCACACATTTTACCAAATATATTCTATTCCGTCTCACCCAACATTATAATGCTTACAGTGAATGTAAAAACAAGCCTCACGTGGCAATCTAGCTTAACTTCACCATAATCTTTCCTTCCTTACGCTAATTCACGATGTTTTTGTTAACAAAATCCCTCGACGTTGGCCCAAAGGCAAAGCTTATTGCACTTCAGTTTCCTGTAAGCTTTTCAAATTTGACAAAATATTTTAATTTGACTATATATCAGTTTCCAGTTTTAGGGCGGTCTGATATTTGGCACCGTTATACGGTTAATATTCTGAGACCAACAGGTTTTCGCTTGCTTTTAAGCATAAGTGTATACTTGTAACGTTACAGGATGAAGCACATTCCTGAGCACTTGGCGACAATTAGAAATGGCCGCCCAGAAATGTCATTTTGAAGATAACATTTTCATCATAGCCGTGTGGCTATTTAGGAACTGGATAGGTCCGGGAAGTATTGGAATTCTCTTTACATCTAGCCGGCCAGTCCTGACAAATGATTGACGACTAACATTGGTAATGTCACGTGACTGGGCGGCATCCCTTTGGAACAAGAACGTGAATTGATCAAGAGGCTCGTAAGCGTGGCACAGATGGCACCCGTCTAAAAGTGTTTTCATCTTTCAGCATTCTTTTACCACTTGTCATAATTAGATTTATTCTTTTAAATTTATTATACCTTAAAGCGGAAATCGCGTAAACAATACGTTTCCGTAGTTCACGCTTTATACCCGAAACTGACAGTCAGCTAATTAAAAGAACATTCAGATCAGATGGGAGTTTTAGAATCTGCCCTTCTACCACCAACCTTGTCGATTAGCTTCGATTATCTGACAGACAAACGGAAATCTAACGACCTTAACACATTCAAAAAGGTTTAATCAGGTTCAAGAAATTTAGCTAAGTTTAATGAAGAATAATTAAATACAAACAAAAATATAGAATTAATTTCATCTACAGTGGATTAGGATCAAGAATCACGAAAAGACTTAACTTCAAGAACACGCAAGCCACGATGTAGATACGTAAAAATCAGTCTTTAACATCAGTTTTTTTTTCTGTCCCATTTCTATCAATTGATTCAAAATATCTTGTAATTATTAATAGGAAACAAACTTGTTGCCCATGAATCGATATTTCGCCGCTTGACTTTTCATAGTCGTTGTACGTTCTAAGCTGTTTTTCTTTGACATTAATTAGGATTATCTCTTTTATTTAACTTCCGAATACGTGAATAAGTCTCGAGCTCCATGAAAAACGACTGTGTCAACAGAAGAGTCTCTATTTTGTCCGTGTGCTGCTTTTTTTTTTTCTTTCTTTTTTTCCATTGGGTGCACCATGCTTCAATTTATGTACAAATGGTGGCGTCGAGCTAAAGCACGCATCATTTTAAACAAAAATATAGATCGGGCTTACAGAGGTCATTTCCATTCACGAACGGACGTTCTGTCATACGTGGACAAGACTATTAGAAAAGCTTCAGCTTACTGTTTCATCTGTGTACACGCTGACGATAAAAGCACTAATTGAAAGCACAATATGAAGAGTAATATTTTTATTATTGGTCATTAAAATACGACTTTATAAAGTGAGCTATCTGTGTGTTGTCAGATGAGAACCTTCTTGTTCATACAATACGAAACAGGTTGAAAATAAAACCGGTCGAATTCACTAAATTCAAACTTTTTAGAGCGATCCTTTCAAAAAACTTTTCCGAAAGAAAATCTCACAAATCACAAATCTCACTCGACTATGGCTTTCCAAAACAGATATCATGTGCCGGGATACCAATTATTCCCTCGAGTTCCGTATGAGCAAAACAAAGAAGGATATTTGCTTTTATGCAACAATTTGTATCAAATCTAAAAACGCTTTTAAAGCATTTAGCCCGCACTTTTCAAATCGAGACACCTTTACGATACAACGTCTTTATATTGCCAATTCCTTTGAAACACTCGAAAGTACTTGTCATGTGGCATTGTTGACAACAGGTCATTGTGAAAAGGTAGGGACTATGGATACCCTAAAATCAGGTTGGACACTCCCTGTCTCAATACACAGCCCAATACTTAAGGTAAAGAATCGTTCAATGGGCATAATTAATTGAGAAATTAGAGACAGGCAGTTTTACAAGGAAATGAATTAACTATAGGTTTAAGCACCGAAGGATACGGTGATCGGGGATAATCACTGCTTTGACAACGGTTGCTTTTCATACAATGTAATAAGCAATGCCATATTCGTTATTCAAATTATCGATGGCGGCAGGTAGCACTTAATTGTGTAATGGCTTGATACAGATCTTGGTTTCAAATCAAATAATGCGAGGTCAGGCCTTACATACATAAGCTGTTTTCATCTATCTTACATTTACTACTAACTGTAAGGTTGAAGACTTATTTGTAGTATTTTGATTGAATTTTAAGCTGAAGATAACAACCTGTTTTCTAGGAATCCATTTTAATCATAACCATTACGAAAAACACAGACTGTTAATGTTTGGGTCAAGCTCTCCAAGACGTAATGAACGCATCCTAATCTGGTGTTCCTGTGGCACAAAGGCGGAAATTTTCAAGACTGCAAATTAGCCGCCCTTTTTAATTTTATCAGGGGCACCTAGGCCCGGAAACTAAAGTCCTGTCGACTCGATTTCGTTTCCGTAATTTTTCCGTAAGGGACGGACCATTAGAAAACTTATGGGGGAGCGGGCGAAGTACAAAAATAATATTCGCGCAAGGTAAAATTAAATTTAAAAAAAAAAATTCTTGCTCGCCAATTAATCCTAAAAAAAATTCATGCAATGGCCTAAAAAAAATTCATACAAGGAATTTGATCACGAAAAAAAATTCCTGCGGCTCGAAAATTCCCCTCCCTCCCTCCCCATAACTTTTCTAATGGTCCGTCCCTAAGTGACGAACAGGCGGATCCGTAATCAATGATTACCTCTAGTTCAAGTACTATTGCTTGACTGACGACAAAATGGTGCAGATTCCGCAGCTTATTATATATAGGAAGCTTAGCTTGCTATACAACATAGCTTTTCCTGGAGGGTGAAGATAACCTTAATTTAAAGTAGGCTGCCATGGCTGATGATCCTGATAAACACAAGAATGGAACTGTCTTTAAACGAAAATTGACAAGAAGTTTGCGCTTTTGTGAAAGGCTAAACTAAACTTTGGAACAGACTTGCTGAAACCCGTACATCTAGGTCACAGATCTTCGGAATTCACAACAGGGGCACCCAACGGCAATTTTCGGGAAAATATCTGTTCGGAAGACGATTTGAGAACTAGAATTTTCGGAACATTTGTTGTAAAATTTCTTGCTTGCCTGCCTCTCCTAGGATTTTCGAACATCTACAAAATGGTATAATTACCCATTTTAATCGGATATTTACCCTAAAAAAGGCCACCTAGAAAACTGAATAAAGGGTTTTGATCCTTATAATTTTCGGATCACTAGACTTTCAGCTAGGAAATCCGAACAGATGAAAAGTTTTTAGGGGATAAAAATATGCCTATATCTACCGCATAAATACTAAAATACGTTCAACAATGCTATGTTAAGTGGTTTTGAACTATATCCTCGTTGGGTGCCCCTGTCACAACTGGCTTTGCTGTTAAATTATGTAGGATAACAAACTGAATAATGGGTGTTGATCTTCAAAGGAATCTGTTCAGTGACTTCCAAAAGCTAGCCGACCCGAACAGATACAATTAATTATCCACCCTCTTTAGGTGCTAACAAATTGCAAATATGTTTAACCCGGTTGAGAGGGAAGGGAGGGGGGGGGATGGTGCCACTGTAGAGGGTACGGTTTTGTCCTATATCCTAAACAGGGTAAGTCTGTCCTTAACATGGGGTAATAATAAACAAGGTGTTAAATGAGAGTGTACGAATGTTTTGATTTGCGTGATGAAATTTTGTTTGTACTTCAAGTATACAAAAACAATGACTGCTATGCGGTAAAGTTTGCTCCATTTCAATTGCCAAAAAGACGATCATTTCGTCCTTTGTCTTAAGGCGATAAAACTGAGGGTGTTGTCCTCAACGGGGTATGTGGCTTTAGGTTGCTTTTTGTCCCAAACACAGTCAGGATTTCAAACCCTCAGCGGCTCGATCACCTATACCCACATATTGGGTAGAGCACACCCTCCCCCCCCCCCCCCCCGCCGAATTTTTGGATCAGTGCTTTACATTGTTAGCTAAGGGTGGTTTTAGGCACTCCCTATGTTAATCCCTGTTCTTTAGATTAGCTTTCGCTAATGATGATTTTCTTTTTTTTTTTGGTTCCCTATCAGGCTCTACCACAAGCTTAACTAGAACAAATTAGTTGGCATGTTACTAAATGGTATTATTTTCTACTTATCCCAATAGATCTTGGTGCTATCCCATTACCTAAAACACACATCGGGAAGCTAAAATCTGCTGCTTCACAACTGCCGCCGATCCGCCGAAGTTGAAACATGAAGTTACACGCTTTGTTCCTTATAACAATTATTGGCTCCGTTCAATTTGATTCAACCACTGGGTAAGCACTTGAGCTCTCGTGTTTTAAATTATTTATTTTCATATTGGTAGATTGAATACTGCCTTTTTTTAAACATTCTTTCGGGCAAAGGGTATGCCGCGCAGCGAATCTGGGATATTTATTAAGCAAAACACTAGAACTGCAACGATTTAAATGTGACAATCTATGAACAATCTGTAAAATAATCTACCAGATTTTGCCGTTTTTAAGTCTTTGGTACAGCCTCGTTTTGCCATTATTTTAATTATTTTTGATCGTGTTATGTTAAGTCTGACTTTAAAGATCTTGCTAGAGAACAGCCATTAATAGCTGGTTGGTAGAAAAAGCATGAATGATTCGTTGTTCGTGTTTTTTTGTTTTTCGACTGAATTCAGTACAAAACTTACCTTACGCGTTTTATCACGTGTTCAAGTTAGGACAGATCGTATTCAAGTGGCATATTAGGTTCAGCCACAGTCATCATCGTGATACGAAAACCGTTTGACATTTATCTTGTTGATATCGATAATTTATGCAGTTGCATTGTAGTCTTTGATGCCCAAAAATTGAAAATTATTTCCAAAATTAAATATTAGTTTAAGCACTTGACTACAAAGTTCCGAGAAACAATTGTTTCTGAAAGCAGCATTAGTCCCTTACCCTCCCCGTAAGCAGTTTTAAAAATTATACCTCAATATTTTTAAAATATTCTTAAACAATGAATGTAGTTTACGCTTTATGTAAAAGTTGTCAAATAAGAGTCATAACTGCATCTGATGTTGTCTTATTTAACTCTGCTTTTTGTCTTTCATCTGTTTAGAGGGCAAAATGAGGTAGACCACAGCATACTCCAACAAAAGGTATTAAAAAATGTTAGTTACTCTAGTAATTCTAAGTCATATTAATCTCCCACACGCTTGAGATAAACTGGTCTAATGCAAGATGATCCGGAAGCGCTGCGTCATTATTATTATTATTATTATTATTATTATTATTATTATTTTACTCTTAATTTTTCTAGCAATATTTAAATGCATATCTTTACCGACACCTAAAATAGAGATAGCCACAGGAAATTTAAACTTTCTACTCAAAGATTTTGTATTCAAAGGGTTATTGGTTGCATCCTTATTAGTTAAGAACAAGTAGAGAAACAGAAATTAGGAAACGGATAAGAATTTTTGATCCCACTCAAAATAATTTCAGTATTTACACTATTTTCAAACGGGCATTACTACCACCCTGGCAAACTCCGACATCCTCTCATACTGGCAGTTGCTTAGAACAAAGATACGTATTGTTCGCTCAGCATAATCCGGGACGAAGATATGCGCTTTAAAAAGATTGGGATCAGGCTTAGGATTACATCGGTCATTTTACAAACACTTAACAGACATTTTGTTGCGCGTACAGGGCAGTTAAGTACCCCTGCTTAAACTTGATACCATATATGGGGCAGCCTCTGTTTCCCAGAGAGAATGATGGAGGCCTGCGAGGTTGTTCTAACTTTGTCTGTGGACGTAATCTACGCTTTGATCGTTAGCATGGTACCATTTTGTTCCTTTGTTTTTTGGCATAGTGCAAAATGAAATTTGTCAGTTATTATGCGTGATTGCTTGATGGATGTGTGAAAGTGCAGATGAAGGGTATAAGTGTAGTTTGAAGCAATGCAGCGAGTAATAATTTCAAAGACGATTTTCTTAACTAGGCCCCCTACGCCCCCGTCACCCTTCGGGGGGAAAGGGTTGTATCGTGCACCTCCAGATTTTGAGGGTTTAACATTAACAATCCTTTCAGTGAAACCCTTACTGCACAAACTGTTTATAACACACATCACTGTCACGACATGTTATGTTTAAAAGACAACTTATTTTAGTATTGAAAGGAATGTAAGGCCGATTTCATTTTACTTTAATCTTATTTAGGCATATCCACTGTTATGGAGTATTGTAAAGGCGGGAGGCCATCGTGGACTGCAAGAATGTCAAAGGCAGTTCAAAAATGAGATTTGGAACTGTACACTAGACCAGAACAAGCCAGTGTATAAAGAGCTCCCCATTTTTGTTAAAACAACGTTACCATATGGTAAGGGTTATTTTAAGTATTTCAAAATACTTTTCATTGCCTTTTTTTCACAACTTTTCCCTTTTCTCCACGAATTTTGCTGCCTAAGAAAAGTTTTATGTGTCCCTTTCAAGTCGTCTTGATGGGACACGATATGATTGTTTTCACTGAGAAACAATTTATTACTTTATAATCATTTAAGCAATAAAAAACATTTTCCATGTTTGCATATAGTCTGGTATAAATTAAACACGATACGGATTGGGAGAATTCGAGACAGTTATGCAAACTCAACGAAGTCGGTACCATTATGGCGCGCACACAGCGAAACATCGTGACGTCACAACTGTGTTTACAAACTCCGATGAAAGCACGTCTCTCGGCCAATAACAACGAGCGTACCATCTTAGCTATTTCACAAAAGGATATACACTGATTGCTTCGTTATGATAACGCGGAACCCCGGCAATATAAATTGCATGCACAACCCTGTAGTGCCTTATTGCCTGATTCCCCGTCATATCTGCATCATATTGTTTGTTAATCATAGCAATAGTCCAGTTTCGCGAATTAAAAAATTACCACTGAATATAAACATTAACGACACATTCATACAGGGTTAGCCTCGACGTAAAGTAAAATATTCAGGAATTCTGGCAAGTAAGTGTTTGAAATTTGAATATACACTGATAGACAGAGTAATAAACAGGTCTTTTTCTCGTTGCAATTTGTGAATATATTACTTCAGAATGAGGCTAAGGCTGTAAAAAATGCGTCTTCACTTCTTTAATTCAGCGGTCATAGCGAACTCCAAAATGGGCTATTTTGCTAGTTAGTTCGTACACTTCTCCGTACTCGGGCTGAAAACAATATTTTCTTTGGAGCCAAAAACTCTGCTCCAATGACAAACTCTTTCTCAGTAAATTATTCGAAAAATATGTGTTACCATTAATCTGCCAACAGGTATTAGTTGCTAACTCCTGGACATTATCTCCAGATATATTTGGCAGTTTCTAACCTTTTTTATTGTTCTCTAACAGCTAATAAAGAGACAGCTTTTATTCACGCCATTAGCACCGCGGCCATCATATACGAGATCATAACTCAGTGTAGACTAAACAAAATACCTGGATGTGGCTGCGCGGACGTTAAAAAGCAGCGGGAAGGCAATGGCGACTGGCAGTGGGGTGGATGCAGTGATAACATAAGGTTCGGTGAAAAGGCGACCAGGCATTTTATCAACAGACTTGAAACCGGAAATGACGCCAGAACAGTTTTTAACTTACACAACAATGAAGTTGGTAGAAAGGTACTTTTGTCATCTAGTAATTGTTTAACTATTCGAACCAGTCATAACATTTGTTCCTCGGTAGTACTAGGATATGGGAAAAATTTTGTTTCTAGGAGACTATTCGTCAAATAGTGGTTTTTATCCATTGCGGTATTTTTGCAATTCTTCTTTTCGCTTTTTATAGGTAATAGTTTAGCTATTTTGTCTTTACATAGCAGGTGAAATCTTCCTTCATTATCTCCAATCTGACAAATTAAAAACGCTGAGCGACTAACCCGCCGTCTGTCCCTTTTCTGTAGATTATCAGTAGAAGTGACGCCAACTGTACTATTATCAGAAAAAATCTTCCAAATTTGTAAACCTTTAAAGTGTTTGCCGGGGGATGGATTCAATCTGTCTTTCAGTACTTTTCAAAAGCACAAAACCTGACAGCTTCTTTGTCGCCTCATGTTAGGGAATCCAGATTCGAGAATCCGGGAAATACTTGCTTGTGGTATCCGGAATCCATGAAATTTTTACTTGTGGAATTTGGGATCCTGGGCTTTGGGATCCGGAATACAGCACCAGGAATTCGGAATCCCACCAAGGATTGGAATCTGAAATCAAGTACCTGGAATCCGGAATCCACAACATGGAATCCAGAAACCAAACTGTCTTCGATTCCTTTGCATGGGGCGATTCTTTTAGCCTCTCTCGCAGGCATTTTTAGGGGAGCTCTTTTTACATTCCTCCCCACAAACGCCTGCTCAACCGAAAACAACATTCCTTTCCCACTGTTTTATTTGCGTGGTAAGTGACCAATCAGCAGTTGTGCAATGAAGTGTTGACAGGCTAAAATCGACTAAAACGTGACCCTAGAGTTACCGCTTTCGTTCTTTTCTTTCCTTCGCTAAGGTTATGCAATGCATGGAGTATTCTAAAATTTGACTAAATCTTATTTTTGCAGCGATGAATCTAACATTTATTAGAGGTCAGAAAGCTTTCCCAGTGTTTCATGCAGATCGAGTCATTATCAGAATACCTTGCGGTCAAGGTTAACTTTCCAGAATTTGGAAAGTACAATGTGAAAGGGAAAGGAATGCTGTCTTCGGCTGAGCGGGCGTTTGTGGGGAGGGATGAAAAACGAGCTCCCCTAAAAACGCCTGCGTGGGAGGCTACGATTCTTTGTGAGGGAAATATAAAGACACAAACAACGTAACTTCGGCTTCTCGAAGTTATACTTTTGTTGAACTGAAAATGAAAATGCTCATTTTCTCACCTCATCCTGTGTAAATCTTCCTCACCGCAGTCCTCCATGGTTGTTTTTATTTACCCAAAACTGTTGGTTCTTAGGACAGAGCAACATTAAATGGGTGGGTGGGTAGGGACGACTTTGTTGTGGTTTGATTACAGGGTAGTATCGCGTATAGATGGAAGACTCTCGAGAGTTTTGTGGGAAGTGGAATATGCCTATATCAGAACCGCTAAGTGCTCTCCCATGATGGAAATTACCAGTGTTAAAACCAGTGTGATCTTTTTGTCGTTGTTTTTTTTTTTCACGAAGTATTTTGTTTTCCTTTCAATAACAGGTTGTTCGTTTAAGTCTTAAAAGGGAATGCAAATGTCACGGCGTCACTGGAAGCTGCAATTTGAAAACTTGCTGGAGGCAACTGACGCCCCTTGACGTCATCGCATCAAAACTGAAGCTGAAATACCGCAATGCGGTACGCGTTGTATCTGTTGACAATGAGCTTCAAGAGAAGGTCAGGAGCAAATTAACATCGAGAATGGACAAAAAGCTTGTATATCTCGAAGAATCCCCAGACTACTGTAAACCAAACAAAATCACTGGTTCTCCAGGAATGCTGGGAAGAACATGCAGCAGCGAAGACGTAACAACGAACAGATGCAAAACACTATGTCAGTCGTGTGAGCTGAAACCCGTAACCGTGCAACGTTCCAAGACATTCGACTGCAGATGTCATTTCTTGTGGTGCTGTAGTATCAAATGCGAGTTATGCACCAGAAAGTATTCGGAAACGACGTGCACCTCAAGGGGAAAAAAAACATAAGAGTTTCAAAAGACCTTTAACTAAGGCAGAAAGTGGGTTGTAAAACAGCAGTTATCCAGCCACTGGTCAAACTATATTCTCGAACTGGTTGAAATGATGAAAAAAGTAATAGCGTCCCCAGAGAAGTTCCATAATGCAATTCGAGACCACACAGACCTATTCTCGCGTTCAGTCTCAAAATCTCCGTGATAACGCATTCCGTGATAACGAAGGATTTCTTCAGTCCTAAAACACACTTCTAGAGGGAGTTCAAATTCTCCTTATAGCTTCTCGCCATGGAAACGGGATGAGCTTCGGCCTGGCTTGAAAAATGATTATATCTCTACCATTTATTAACATGTAAATTTGGTCGAATTTAGCAGTTAAACGACTTTGTTTATCTACTACCATGCCACCTGATGAAGACCCTTTAATGCTCGACAAAAATAGAAGAGGGGGAACTTTATCGCTCCACTTATTCCAATTGCTATTCAATTATCACCAACATGCATTCGGAAAAGTTTTGTGGCAGCCAGAGTCATTATAATTTATAGGGGAGTACCGTAATTAAATGATCTAATAGACACCTCTTGTCAAATAAAGGTCTTACGCTTTTAAGTTTCAAGTAGATGCCCCTCTCTAATAATCCCCGCCCCCTCTGTGTTAATGGCAAGTACTCCAAAATACTAGGAAATAGCAAACAAGTAAAATACTGCCATTTGTTCAGTTTCTTGCTTGATAAACAAAGGTTTGCGTATTGCATCCTGTTCGTGTTAAGTTTAAAGTAAAGTTACCAAGCAACAAATTTAATTTGTGAAATCCTAATATTTCCTAAAACTGAAACACAAGATCAGTTTTTTTAAAGTAAGAACAAAAACCTTCAATTAAGGGGCAAGACGGGTACTGTCCTATTAATGCTGAGATGAAGGCAATTGATAGCCTATTGGATTTAGAGAATTTTGTTATAGTTATGATTAAATTTGAATTAATATCATCAGGGGATATCATATTGAATTATAAGGTTAAGTGGACAAACAAAACAGAGATTTCTATGCATAGTTCCTATACTACTTTTAAGTTCTGTTTACTCCCTTTTTCAATAAAACTGAAATGTCCTGGGGTCGGTTACAAAAGAGAAAATCGAAAGTGGCACAATTCATGAATAAACATTATTTTCATTGAAATTCCTTGATGGATTAACAAGTACAGTCATTTAATGTGAAAAAAAAAAATGAATCTTTTTATTTGCCGAATCTAGAAAGCCAATGTGTCTTTGTCCTTTTTCTATAATAGTAATTATAATGACAATTAGCAATTATTTAATGAGGCTCGGTAGGATGTGAAGATTGCTGATCGAGGAGGATGTCATCCACCGACATGATCGAGGCTTAGGGCCGAGGTGGATAGCATCCTCCGAGATCTGCGTAATTCTTTACATCATGCGAAAGCGGGGATCAATAATTGTTCTATTATTCATTCAAAGTTATATTTTTAAGTTCCTAACATGCTTACCTCCTCGTAGACTGTCTTCTAAACTTTGGCCTATTTCACGGAACAGTTTCAGGATATAAACACGCTAGGTCTATTCTTGCAGATACTCAAAGAAGTAGATAATATCTATCGAACAATATGTTTTGCGTATTCTTTCTTTTCTTCCATTCAGTTATAGTCAGAAATTTGGCTATTTCGTCTTCGGATAGCTGCAGGAATCGCCGTTATTTCAGTTTACTCGTGACAGCTGGGCCACCGCGCCTGGAACGTTTCCAAATCACTATAGAGCGTTTTCAGTCACGTGGCCAACATCTATGCCAATTTATTGGAACAAAAGAAAGCATTTACATGTGGAAAGAGTTCAACTCCCACAGGATTTTCTTGGTACACCAACATGGCCGCCGTTTCATTGTTTTAGAACACCAATATGGCCGCCGTGACGTCATGTGAAAACGCTCTATACCATGGATCAACTTCGTTTCCAAGTTAACATATATACCATCGATGGTATAATTGATGGTATATTGCTCGCCTCTTCCAAATTACGTTATTATGACGCACATTCATGATGAAATACGCATTATAGACGATCAAAAACCTAAAATTTTTCTTTTATGCAACTTTGTCCCTTCTCCGTTCCAACTACATTCAATGTTTTCGCGTTTAAATACCGCTAAAGTTTGACTATATGGTAATTTGGCGGGAAATTTGAATTTCTTTAATTAAATGTGACTTAACGCCTTTTTATCCGATTGAGATGAGGTTTTCACCAGAAATCATATGATTCTATACAGAAAACTAATACAAAATTTTTACCATTTCCTTCCTGAATTTTCTTTCTGATGCCAAATTTGGACATTATTTATGACGTCACAACATCACCTACATGGGATGAAATAAACACCAATAAATAGGTAATTTATCAACCTACTTCCCTACCAAGTTTCGTGACATTCGATTCACTCTATCTTTTATCTATGGCCTAAAACTCTCAGTTTTGAGAGGTGCGAGAGCAACAGCCCTAGCAACCAACCACTGTGAAACGCCCGGGGTGTCTATTTAATTGCTCTGGGACTTCCTATTGTCTCTAGTCTAGCACAACATTGCACAACATCAAACTCCCATGCAGCACGCTAGAATTTACCACGCTTGGTTGCCCTCTGAAATCTATTCGCTATTGTTTTCTCCTATTCTACAATAATCACCATATTTCGGAAAGATTTCAGAGGGCAACGAAGCGCGGTAAACTCTAGCGTGCTGCATGGAAATTTGATGTTGCGCTAAACTCGAGACAAAAGCAAGCCCCAGAGCAAAAACTTAGCCAGATATATGACATCTCTTCAATATTACTTACTTTTGCCCCCATGTTAGACAACTTTTAATTAGAAGTTTACAATCGACACGAAATTCGGGGATTTAATAGTACACTGATCAATTAATAAACTAAAAAAGTTTAAAAAAATCTATCGACGAATTTTCTTTTAATCGCTGTTTTCGTGAAAGTAGCCTTAGAAATTACAAAAAGAGCTCAGCATTGCGTTTTACCCTGATTCGTACGTTTTCATGTGTTTCGAAATCGTGCAAGTGTACTTGCGTTCAGCGGCTTCTAAAGAGTATAAGGGTCATTTGCAAAACGAATGAGTCATAAAACCTTTTCGGGAACATCCAAAAAGTAGCAAATTTGTCTGCATAAAGTCCAGTCTTCAGTGCATGCATAATTTATACCCTTTTTATAGAGATTCTAAGATATCTCGAAATTCCTATGATAGATTTTTGTTAAACTTCGCACAGCAGAAGACATTTATCAAAAGTAGCTTGTTAAAGCATTTCAAAAGAAAATGCCGAACAGGGCTGAAAGTCGATTTAGAGCTAAAACCATTGTGACGTCATTACCACGTGACATTTATTCCGATCGCCCAAAGAATGATACCATAATAAAGTTAGGTCTAAATGTAATCCAAATGGCATAATGGTTTTACAATACAGATCGATTTGTTTAAGGTGACTCGACCCAGTTGTTTTGGGGGGGTACCATCCTACTTTGAAGCTCTCTGGTATCCCCACCTTTACTTTTATCTTAAGTCTAACACATAGAATGGATAACATATAGATCAATCTGCAATATAACATAAAATTTTTGGCGATCGGAGTAAATGTCACGTGGTTATAATGCCACGCCCCTTTGAGGTCTGAGTCGAAAATCTGCTGTTGCCGGCATTTTTTCGTGAAAATCTCTCGGCTACACATAGTGCGCATTAGTGCCTAGCGCTGAACAGAGTTTCACCAAAATTGCAAAGACCCAATTCGAGAAATTCAGCGGTTTCCAAATTTAGGTCATAATTTATGCGAAAATGATAAGCAAACTTTACACGGATTATATCTAATAAACTATGAGATTCATCTCTTTATTTTGGGCATCGTTATAACAGATGGGTCCTTGCAAGTCAGCAAAACGCTTTAGAGCCTTGTAAATGAGCGCGATTTCGAGCAAAGCAAACATATAGAAATTATAGTTTTCGCTATTTGTTGACGTTTGTCAGTGTTTAAGAGTCCTTCTCACGAAAAAAGCATTTTCTTAAAAATTCGTATTTTTTTTTCCTTCAAATTTTTTCAGGGCCACAACTGATTAACTAACTACCCGGACTCTGAATTTCATGGTCATTGAAAAACTGTGAAATTACCTTCTATAAGCCCAAACTGGAGTAAACATTGAAGATTTTTAGCGTTTTGGCTGAGTTTGTGCTTTGGGAGTTGTCTATTGTTTCTAGTCTGTCATTATACAGCATTCTTGTTCAGCACACGCGCAATGACCACGCTTGGCTGACTTCCGAATGCTCACCGAGATAATTTATGATAATTTAGTATAAGAAAATAGAACGGATTCCCGTCACGAGTTGGTTTAATTATTGGCTTGCATTAAACCTATGAAAAAATGATATTTTTTTAATAGTAAGTACATTTGGTGTGTAGCACTTCTTGATTTTTTTACAAAGGCACAAGAAGCACGAGAATTGATTAAAAATTGTGAGTTAAACCTCTGTGTATCACGCGATGGCCTGTCTCACTGTACCATATCATATCCAGGTAAGCATTCGGAAGTCAGCCAAGCGCGGTAATTGCACGCGTGCTGAACAAGAATGCTGTATCATGACAGACTAGAAACAATAGACAACTCCCAAAGCACAAACTCAGCCAAAACGCTAAAAATCTTCAATGTTTACTCAAGTTTGGGCTTATAGAAGATAATGTCACAGTTTTTCAAAAAAAAATTTGAAAAAATTTGAAGGAAAAAAAACCACGAATTTTTAAGAAAATGCTTTTTTCGTGAGATTGACTCTTAAACGCTGACAAACGTCAAAAAATAGCGAAAACTATAATTTCTATATGTTTGCTTTGCTCAAAATCGCGCTCATTTACAAGGCTCTAAAGCGTTTTGCTGACTTGCAAGGACCCATCTGTTATAACGATGCCCAAAATAAAGAGATGAATCTCATAGTTTATTAGATATAATCCGTGTAAAGTTTGCTTATCATTTTCGCATAAATTATGACCTAACTTGTAAACCGCTGAATTTCTCGAATTGGGTCTTTGCGATTTTGGTGAAACTCTGTTCAGCGCTAGGCACTAATGCGCACTATGTGTAGCCGAGAGATTTTCACGAAAAAATGCCGGCAACAGCAGATTTTCGACTCAGACCTCAAAGGGGCGTGGCATTATAACCACGTGACATTTACTCCGATCGCCAAAAATTTTATGTTATATTGTAGATTGATCTATATGTTATCCATTCTATGTGTTAGACTTACGATAAAAGTAAAGGTGGGGATACCAGAGAGCTTCAAAGTAGGATGGTACCCCCCCCAAAAAACTGGGTCGAGTCACCTTAAGTATAAGAGATTCAAAGATGAAGGGTGTGACTATCAAAAGACTGGGTTGAGCCACCTTAATTAAGCTCCTATTGTTGTGATCCAAAAATTTTGCTACTACGGTAATCTGACGTCACACTTCTCTCTATTATGGCGGGCAAAGCGAGCCGCGAGTGAACACGCGAACGAGCGACTTTTTCTTTGCCCGCCCCTCTTCGCGAATTCCTCGCGCTTCTTTCGCGTGCGGCTGTCGCGTGAATTCTCGCGACTTCCCCAAATGGAGAGATTACTCGCAGGCTTGACTTACACCTGCGTTTGGTTTAGTTTAATATGTTGGTGCAACTTTGTTTTTATTAAACAGCTAAAGAAAAGAACTTCATAATTTATGTTTTGTACATTAAAAATAAACTAAAGGGAGAAGGAATTTGCTTATTGATTTCATGAGGGAAAGCGAATTTTTAAAAAAAAAAAAGAGTTTGGTCATCATCACGGTGTAATTGTCCACAAGATTAACTCTTGGCGTCATAATTCCTGCCGTTTTAAATAAATAAAAAATAGGCGACATATTAGGAAGAGGAAGCTATTCCC